TGACCTTTCAGGCATGATTTGATCTACGGCTGTGAAAAGCCATCCTGTGTAGCTCGCAGGGTCGTGGAGGCGCGCAAGCTCTCACACCACATCAGGGTGCAGTCTCGTCGTGGTGGTCCATTCTATATGCATCCAATCATCGAAAGCATGCAATCAAATGATATCGCCTACAAGGAAACTCAAGGGGTCGCAACCGCAAAGCAGAGCTGATCGAAAAGTGGCAAAGTATACACGATATTTTAATCTCAATGGGTTCTTCCGAGGTAATATTATTCCCACAATCCCTAATGCTTCAATCCTTATCGTCGGCTCATATTCTCGCAAACGGTTTTTCACTGTATGCACAGTAATACTTTATCCATCGTCGCAGATTCCATGCACCTTTTCTCTTATCATTGAAAACTTGGCCGGTATACCCGGCCATGTGATGCAAACAAGATATCAACCTTTCTCTGAGAAATAGAATTTAACTGACCTTGGTGGCCGCTGCACAGTTGTGTGGTTACCACATCTGAGTTTGTCGACTAGCTGTGTTTGGTCACCGCCATTTGCGTGTTTGATGGGAACAACATATGAGCACCAATCGAGGACAAAATACGTTTAGGTCCAGAAAATCCTTCCACTTAGACAACGATATCAGTGCATCGTGTCCAGTGGCTCGATCGTGTGTTGCGCGACCACGGGTGCAACTTGCAGCCACTAGTCAAACGCCAGAGATAGGCCTTTTATCACCATTGCTTTGTTTGTTTTCTTGGTAGAGCTTGCTGAATATGTACACAGCCTTACACTAAACGAACTGTCAACCAAGTGTCTGTTGTCAGGAGCAAAATGGTCAGATTCTAATCATAATTCTTCCGCAGAACAATAAAATTACGAAGACCGTCAGTTTTCTTTCACCACACAACCTCAAATTCTTCAAAAAAGGAAGGAATAAACTGGATCCATTGTTAATGAATACCACCAACATTCCTTTTTATATTGTTTTTGGACAACTCGGGTTAATTCTTTCAGTTTAAATAAATTTAATTGTATTATCAAAAAAGCATTGACTATTACAGCATGTTTTGTTTGAGCAGATAAGAACAGAAATATTTCCGTGAAATAGCAGCTGAAGAAGGTGAGGAATACTCATCTATCAATTCATTACACACGCACTTGTGTGATGAACAATAAACCTTAAAGTCATGAGAACCCGGTATTTACTCCTGGTAACCGACAGCTTAATCCTTGGGATTTGAAGTGGTGGTTAGGAGGTATAGTACTGATTGAAGCTGCGTACCACGAAAGCTGGGTGGTTGTGGTGGCGTGAGGTTTGAACTTGGGACCCTAGGTCGCAAAGCACACCGGTGGCAGCGACCTGAATCGCCTGACCACCTCATCCCCCAAACACAGGTGGTTTACCAGATATGGTTGTTCCAGATCGTATTGCTTTCCCCGTTTAATTAAACTGAAACTCTATCAAGAAAAAAAAAACACGTGAAATTTATGCATCTACAAGTTCACGTCCAGGTTCAGTATCGCTAAGATGGTTGAAACAGGTAAGAGAAAGACGTAACAGATCCCATCAATGGCATAGAACGGCGAAGTCATGTTTCATTAACTCCGACTGGATTGTGCACTGATGGACAAATACTGATCAGTTCAAAAGTAATAGTACAATTCACCGCTCAAAATTATTTCGTAAAAATGAACCATGATCAAAAAAGGCGTCAACCGCTGGCACTTACTGCTTCCATTCGGGTTTTATAATTGTTCCACATAGTTAACAGTTCATCAGGGGCAGTCTGTCCGCTCTGTTTGAATGCACGCACAACGTCTCCGGCATTCCGTTCCTGATCGGGAGTGATAAAGGTATAGGCGAATCCTTTGTTCCCAGCACGCCCAGTACGTCTAGAATGACCAATAATGATAATTAAGGGCGGATATAGTGACACGAACAACCCTTATATTAATCGGTTCACTATGAAAGTTTTTTGCGTAGGATCAGTGCACCAGCTTCCTTATACCCAAACACATCCGTCCACCAGTGATAAATGGATCTAGGATTTAATGTTTGAATCTCACAAGCAGAAACGCTGAGAAGTTCATAATTCGATCTTGAGTCGTGGGTCAAAACTTATAGAATAGAAAAACAAGACTTCTTGTACAACTTACTTTACTGCGGCTAGCATTTGCTGTTCAGATGTGATGTTCAGTGATAAGATATAAAAAAGAGAGACGGTCATCTTCCAAGACTTAAGAATCAAAAACAACTTCCAAACTTTATCATAAACTCGGCCCACCGGAACAGATTCGTGAAACGTACCCACATCGGTGCACATAGTCTTCGTAATGATTCGGACAATCGTAATTGATAACCAGCAACAAATCGTTCACATCCAAACCACGCGCAGCAACTGAGGTAGCAATCAGAAGGCGAATATTACCCCGTTTGAAATCAGTGATAACTGAGTCGCGATCGTACTGGTCGATGCCCCCGTGCAAAGATAGACAAGGGTACCCGTATTTCATCAAGACACGCATCAGTTCGTCGGCGCTTTCCTGTTTCTCGACAAAAATGAGTACACTCCCCATTTCCTGATAGATACCCAATAATTCGAGCACTTTGTAGAATTTTTCGTCCTCCGTCAATACGAGCTGTAATTGTATGCATGTGAGAGAAATAAATGTATGTCGATGGTGGTAATGCAAATCTCTTTGGGATATAAAGAATACACAGATCTGCATCGAATTAGTCCTTTGTCACAACAAACAATAACGTTGTCAGATTTTTAGTCAATGTATCAAACTAATCTGAATAATTTTTATTATATATATATATATATTATATATATCCACTAACCCTTACACACAGTGTCATTATGTCATATGATAAACTTCGAACTACTCACTGAATGTACAAAGTATTCCAAACTTATATGACACTAGTATAAATAGACGTACGTTACGGGAAATGGAAGTAGATACAAGCGGATAGCAATATCACTACTGCTTGATACTTTGTCTTTGCGAGCAAGCGCAAGCCTTAACGATGCACCCGAGGTCGATGATCTATTCTTGCAAAGTTGTTCCACTTTGTCTATACACGATATAGCTAGCACATAACCCCGCTGGTCTCGGCACTAGCCTCCAAGATTATGGCTCCGTCGGAAACACGTCGAACATGACTTATCTGTTAAAAAAGAGAAGGATTATTCCGACTACCCGAGGTATTTTGTTATATACAGCGCGAAGGAATGGACTCGGGATATAGTCACCAATTGAGTCAATGAATTTACTCTGTTGATGCGACCCAAAGAAGTTCATCCTGCCAACTTGTCCCTCAGGGAAGGACTAAGATCTCACCTGATGTCTTATCGTTCTAAAGTAGTAAAGGAACATTCAACAAGAATCCGGTGGTTTAGTCCTTGTGATAATTTACAACCAAGCTACATCAATAACTCATGAATAAAGGAACGGTTGAACTTCCTTTTCATCATTACATATTTAACGTTACAGTCAATTTCCAGGGAGGCTGAAACCCATAAACCGTCTGAGGAAATAAAGAAATGGAGCAAACGCGTGGTGGGATTCGAACTCACGAAATCCGTGTCGTTGTAGTGGTAAACTTAACCGTTTGATCACCGACGTTCTTTTAATACCCGTTGAACATTTCGTTATCTGAGTAAAATGAAGCTGCACTATTGACGTGTCATCTATATCTTTATAAGGTTGCATTAATTAACTATAAAATGTATCGTCACAATGAGTAATTTTAAAAGCAACAAACTCACCGGAGGGTAACAGATAGGTAAGTGACTAAAAGCTACAAGTGGGGAATAGGAGGAAAAATATTCAACTTACGGCATGCTGCTCGACATCTGAACAGACGACTGATCGGCCACCAACTTGAATCTCAATCGGATTGGTTAGCGCTTTACGCGCCAGTAGTTCCATTTGTCGGGGAAATGTGGCCGAGAACATTAGGGTTTGGCGATCGGGACGACAGTTCTCCACAATACGCATGACTTGCGGTTCGAAACCCAGATCGAACATTCGATCGGCTTCATCCAAAACCACATAGGTGCACCGGCGTAGATTGGTCACACGACCTGGAATTTGGTGAAAACAGACAGACACGATCGAGTTTAGGTGGGTAAAACAGAACGACGCTACATGTGCGGAAAGCCCACAGTGAAAGCAACCAGTTAAGAAGCCATGAGGTATCATGGAATTAGAGTATATACTAACGGGAATATGGACAGTAGGCCTTTCGAGTATGCAGAGGAATAACTATTCGGCACCTTTGAGCTCAGTAAACGGTTAATGAAACTTGTAGTGCACTGTTGGACAATGTAGCTTCATCGACGAAGTTGTTTACACCCCGGTTAAAATGCACATATCTTATCAAGATGATTTCTTCTTTTTCAGTTCATTATATTTATTCTACACTTGACATCATGTGTCATGCTGATAAACGTCATTATAATCTCTTGTTAGATGATCGTTGTTATCAGACAACAAACAAAATGAACTTACTAATTGAATGAATTAGAAATGAAACAGAATTACTGTTGTTCACATTCTAACAAACAAACTGCGACGGTCATGCATCATGTTGTGAGAGCTTGACTATAAGGATCTCAACGACCCGAACCATCTCCTCAATCCTGAACAGCTGGCTTGCCGGTCGCAAGGCATATATACACCTTTTCCTATCAAGCTTTAGCCAAAACCCGTAATCCTTTAGCCTCAACGCACGCCGCAGTAGACAAATCAGAGTAAAAATATTGGAATATTCTGAAGTCAACGAATGTTGAAAAAGCTGTTTTCTATAAATGTTAATGTAGGGGTAGTACGCTGGAGCACACGTTGATTGGAGAAGGTTTAACCGATGTACCCGTATCGTCAAATCATTTGACACATAGCGTACAACTTCACTGTTTCTGTATAACGTGTGATACTCCTAGGAGTAAAAAATCTCAAGTGTAACTCAAACAATATATTGTTTTACATTCCCAAGCCCTGAAATAAATTGAGAGGTATATGCTTACCGTTTCGTATATCCACTTAAAGTGAACTCTGTTTTTGACATATGAATACATTAAAAGGTGGAGGATAATAAGAACTGCTCACAAAAGATTCCTTTAAAATACCATTTCCCGAGAAGCTATAGACAAAAACCCGTAATATTGAACTTCGACCGTGGTACTTATAACATACGCTGCACCGTTATTAAACTGACTATAATTATGAGGGTATACTTTTCCGAATGATTTATTATCCCGTACAGCGCACAATCGGCTACTGACTGGAATCCAGTCAAGAAGCGAGCGCTCAGCCTTGGCACTTAGCGCAAT